AGTCTCTCCTTTCCTTTTCTTTTTTTCTTTTTTTTTCTTTTTAAAAAATATATTTTATTGATTTTTTACAGAGAGGAAGGGAGAGAGAGTTAGAAACATCGATGAGAGAGAAACATCGATCAGCTGCCTCCTGCACACCCCCAACTGGGGATGTGCCCGCAACCAAGGTACATGCCCTTGACCGGAATCGAACCTGGGAACCTTCAGCCCGCAGACCGACGCTCTCTCCACTGAGCCAAACCGGTTAGGGCTCTCCTTTCCTTCTTGGGAGGAGATGTAGCCCTCCTGGGCGAGACTGGTCTTTCCAAAGCCTGGCGAGCCAGGGACCAGCTCCGTGGAGAACGGCCTCTACTCCAAAATGGGGCCGAGATAAATTCCTTAACGCAAAAGTAACTGACATCATTGGTGTATTAAAACGATGCACAGTGTGCATGGGTTTTGAAGGGCATGTCCTCTGGGCCGCTGAGGGGCCTCTCCTCCCACTGGAAAGGCTCTGGGGGAGCGGGCCCGCCTCCCTCCTCCCGCTGTCCACAGGGGGCTGCGCATCGGGACCAGGGGCAGCTGTAAGGGTCTCAGCTAGGAGTCTGCCTGACCCTTAATGATGGGGTGGTTTGTGAAGCATGGTCCTCTGGGGGGAGGGCAGAGGAGTGTTCTATTTTCTTTTCGGGGGAACTCCTGAGATAGTAACAGACTGAATACCAGCTCTTTATTATGATTGAAAGCACACTATAAGCTTAAAAAAAAAAAAATGATAATGAAAACCAAAGCCAGTGTCCTGTTGCTTTCAAATAAGTCTGAAAAAGTGTCTAACCTGAATGCAGCAGCATCTATTCTCTGATAATCACAAGGGATTTTTTATTTTATTTTATTAACAGGGATTTTGCTCTCCCAGGAGTGGACTGTGTGTTGGCTTTTAAGTGCTGTTTAAGAGCTTTTTTAAGAGCCAAGTATAAGCCAACCTGTGCTTCTTAGTGATGTTAGGGTCCTGGGATCCAGCCCCAAACCCTAGAGAGAAGCTGAGGATCACCTCCAGGGCCCCGGCTCTCGGTTAATGCATTTAAAGCAGGATCTGGGGGGTGGGGGAGAGGATATAGTGTATAAAAGGGTTGGATTCACTTAGTTCAGTGATTCCAGTTCCCCTCGAAACCCCTTTGACTCCCACACAACATCTTTTTCTAGAAGTTTTGGCACCAAAGCATTCTGACTGCTGTCAGCAAACAGTGACCAGCTGTGTTTAGTACTCACAGGGACGTGAGTAAATGGATTCACTAACGTGTTTAAAGCATATTCAATAACAGGCTCTTAATTTCTTCTCCTACTCGCCTCTTCCAATTCAGAGTTTTCACTAATCTCGCAGCTCTTTTTATTGAGTTTTACGCAGGGATGATTAGAAAAGCACGAAAAGATTTGGGTGCTTTGGGGACAGGTAATTAATCAAAAACCCCACCAGGCTTATTTTGTGTTCTGTGTCCTGGTGTATTTTTCTTTAAGTTTCCTTTTAAAAATGTTTTAAAATGGGTGTGTGTGCGCGTGTGTGTGTGTGTGTGTGTGCGTGTGTGTGTATGGTGTTGGGTGATTCTTTGCTGGCACTAATGGAGATTGCATTCCTCCTGCCAACATGACATTCTCCAGGTAACAACATTTTTGCTGTTTAATAATATTTTTGGCAAAAGGAAATTCCGAAGGTAAATCTGTTATTGCTTCCAAAAGAATTGAGCCCTTTGCCGGAACCGGTTTGGCTCAGTGGATAGAGCATCGGCCTGCAAACTCAAGGGTCCCAGGTTTGATTCCGGTCAGGGGCATGTACCTTGGTTGTGGGCACCTTCCCAGTAGGAGGTGTGCAGGAGGCAGCTGGTTGATGATTATCTCTCATTGATGTTTCTAACTCTCTGTCCCTTTCCCTTCCTCTCTGTAAAAAAATCACTAAAATATATTTAAAAAAAAAAAAAAAAGAATTGGGCCCTGACTTGGAGAGCCCCCTGGAAATGGAGTTTGGATTAGTTCACGTTCCTGGGCCAGCGGCAGGCGGGGGAGCGGGTGAGGGGCATTGGAGCGGCCAGTGCGGCCCCTGTGCTGGTGGTCTCTGAGCGCTCAGGTTTCCTGTGATAGTGCAGGTGGTGTCCCAGGACAGCTGGCGGTTGGACTTGGCGGCCATTCTCACAGTCTTTTTGCTGACTCACTCGTTCTGTCCCCAGTTCCTGGGGAGACTCTCCTGGGGACCTGGGCCTCAGCAGAGCCAAGCTCATCACACCTTCCAGCTCCTGCCATCTGCCCTGCCCTTGCCTCACTTGGCCTGGACAAGGCAGCCTGAGGACCACAGTGGATTGGCTTTGACCTCTGACCCCTTGGCTCTCTGACTTGTGCTCCCTCTGGGAGACTTGTTCCTCCAAAGCTGTGAAATACTATATTGAGATAGGGGGCCTAGGCCCAGGCCTAGCTAGGGGCTTCACCTGCATTTATAGCTATTTTATTATCACTTTGGGGTAGGCCTGACTTCTAAGATGGTTATCTAAGAGTTGTTTAAACAGGTATATGTTCTCTTCTTTCTAAAATATTTACCTAGCAAGCTACCTAGCAGGGAATGAATGGTTCAATGTGATATTTTGTAATTATTATCCTGTGATGCTCCTAGCTTAAATTTAAGTAGTGTGGCCAAACTCCTTATTTCTCACCCAAGTAAACAAAAAACAGTTAAATAAAAGCCATTTTAAGGTGATATAACCTTAAAAGGTTCCTGAAAAACAAAACCTTTTAAATAATACTATGCCTGGCCGGCGTGGCTCAGTGGTTGAGCATCGACCTATAACTAGAAAGTTGTAGTTTCATTCCTGGTCAGGGCCCATGCCCGGGTTATGGCTTGATCCCCCAGTGAGGGGTGTGCAGGAAGCAGCCAATTAGTGATTTCTTTCATCAATGTTTCTGTCACTCTCTCTTCCTCTCTGAAGCCAATAAAAATCCTCCTATATAATAAAAGGCTAATATGCAAATTGTCCCCTAGGGAGTTTGACCAACTGTGAGTTCAACCTCTCACTATGACATGCCAGGTCTAGGGACTTTACCCATGCACGAATTTCGTGCACCACGCCTCTAGTATATAAATGATACGCTAAGATAGTCATTACCTTTCCCTCCATTGCTTTCTGTCTGAGTTGTGGGGGCATACAAGGTAGAATAGGAGTTACTGCCTTCAACCAAACCCGATGGCCCTTCCGATGCCCATGCAGATCCTCAGCTCTCTCCCCTTTGACTGGAGTCTTGTTCCAAACAGGAAAAAAAAAAAAGAAGAAGAAAAAAAAAAAAAAAAATATATATATATATATATATATTTATATATATATATATTTTTTGAACAACTGCCAGCAAGTCAGTTAAAAGCTGCACTCTCCTCTAGCGGGCTTGCAAAAATACTCTAAAGGGCAAGTTGTTTGCTGCATTTCTTAGCAGCCAGCCTCGGAAGCCTCTGCGTGGTCAGGCAGGCCCTGGGTGGGTACTGGAAGCTGGTGAGGCCCGAATCCTGGTCCCAGTCCTTGTCCCTCGGAGGGCCCTGCACCCTCCATCACACCGGGACTGCTCTCCCTGTCTGCTGCCTCCTCCCGGGACCCCAGGCAGCGGTTACAGGCAGGTCTGTCCGCTGTTTCACTGCCTGTTGGGTTCCAGACAGTGAATGAGTATAAGGGAGGCCACCGCAAGTCTGCATCAGAAATACTTTGGAACTACTTGGATGCTTGGGGAAATGCTAAATAAAAGATACGTGTCTGCTCTTGGTTATGGACTGTGAAGTATGTTGAACTCAGTTAAGAATAGAAACCAGTAATAATAATTCCAGACGGAGTGGCCTACAGATTGCCTTCCTCCCATGACCTCATTTAATTTTTTTTAGATTAACTTTCTTTGAGGTGTAATTTACATGCAAGAAAATTCACCCATGAAGTGCACAGGTTAGTGATTTTGACAAAAGGACTTTCCATCTTCCTGTCCCCACTGATCTGGATCTGTCCCTAGAGGTTAGTTTTGCAGGTTCTAGATGTCCTTTCGTCTCTGTGAGGGGCTTCCTCTGCCCCTGCTCCCAGGGAGGCTGGGCCAGGGCGGGGGATAACTGGCCCCGGGAGAGTCCCTCTCTCCTCCCTCTCCCTCTCCCTCTCCCTCTCCCTCTCCCTCTCCCTCTCCCTCTCCCTTTTCCTCTCCCTCTCCCTCTCCTTCTCCCTCTCCCTCTCCCTCTCCCTCTCCCTTTTCCTCTCCCTCTCCCTCTCTCCTCCTCTCCCTCTCCCTCTCCCTCTCCCTCTCCCTCTCCCTCTCCCTCTCCCTCTCCCTCTCCCTTTTCCTGCTTTCTGAACAAGGGACCCTGCATTTCTCTCTAAACTGCTTCTCAAACCACGAGCTCAGGAGTGGGGGTTGAACCTTCTCTTCAGCTAGCATCTTCGTGCATGCAGTAGGCACTCAATACCTGCTACAGTAAAGCAAGTGGATCTTCCTCTCAGTCCAAATTCCCAAAGAGACCATGCAGGCCTTCAGTCTGGAATTTCTCAATTTCTTTTTGTCATAAAAAAATACAAGTTCAAATACTGCTTGGGGTATAAATCTCCAGGAATTAGGCTCTGCTCCCATTTCCTTCAGACGCCCACTCACCTCGGCAAGGTGGAGGGAGAGGGAGAGGGAGTGGGAGAGGGAGGCAGAGAGAGAAAATCATTGATTGGCTATCTCCTATATATCCCTACTGGGGATCAAACCCACGACCTGGGCATGTGCCCTTAACTGGAATCAAATTCAGGACCTTTGCTCTATCCACTGAGCCAAACCAGCTAGGGCTATTATCATTTTACATTTTGTCATTTTACCATGATTTATTATATTAAATTCTTAGTATTGAGCTTATCATTCATATTTATAATTGTACAATGTCCATTTTAAATTTAAATGCAAACATAGGAGTTTTTAACTCTTGTGGAATCACAGAAATGATATTCCATAACTTGTGCATGCATGTCTTTTATTCTTAACAGAACTGGGAACTCTGCTCAGAACACTCTCAACTGTACCTCACCTCTTGATATATGTACATTCTACCAACACTGCCCGCCCTCAGCTCCTGACGATGGAGCAAAGCCTGGAAGGAAGAGAAACGCGAGGTACTCTGAGCCCCCTTGCCCTCTGTCACCCTCCTCGCTGTGTGTGGCCGTCTGGTCCACAGGAAGATGGGGTAGGCTTTGTGGTTGAACTGTGTCTCCTGCGTTCAGAGCAAGTTCTGCTTGGAGTGGAAAGTGTGGCCCCTCGGGCGGACCCAGTCGTAGATGTGAGACGTTACCTCGTCCTCCCTGAATCCCATCCACTGCGGGCCCCCCGGGTTCCATGCTGTGGGCACCGAGAAGGGGAATGCCTGCAGGGCTGCACGGACCTCCCTGCTCACTGGAGTGCGCTCCAGTGTCCTCAGGCCCCGCTCACACAGTACGATCGTTAGGAGTTCCAGCACGGTGGCCGCTCCCGACTGTGGATTCCCCAGCCCACTGCCCTGGTGTGTGTCTGGTGCTCAGTAAGTACCCGAGATGCCTTCTCGAGGAAGATGCCAATGGAACCTGGTGTGGGCAGCGGCCCAAGCCAACTGCCTGTTGCCCTCTGGCGGCTGGAAGGTGTTCCTGCCAGAGTGTTGGGTGGGAGGGAATCAGGAGTGTCCCCCTCCTAGAGCTGAGGGCCCAGCTTTGCAGGGCAGGAAGGAGGGGTGAAGGCAGACACACCTGTGGAAGCCACCTCACCTCTGTCTCAGAGCCCCATCTGTAAAACGGGAGAAGCTAGGGAGTGAGGAGGTCTCGGGGTTCAGTTAACTTGAAAATATAAGTGAAACATACGGCGTGGACCAGGCACACAGTAAATGCTCTCAATCGTGGTGGCCAGCGTTATTTATATTTTCCCCTCTCAGCCCCAGGTGGCCAGCAGGTAGTCTTGTTCCAGAAGCCTCACCCACAGGGCAGGCGGGTGCTTCATGACGACGATGACTCTTGCACCTCTTCTCTGGGCCTCAGACCTGCTGTCAGGCCCCCGTGCTGTCTCCACAGCATTCCACCCACTGGTGTTCCAGCCCAGTGCTTCCTGCACCTCCTGCGGAGCCCTGGGAGCCCAGGAGCTGGCTGCACCTCCACCCCCGGCTGTGCCCGGTATTTGGAGCCGTGGCCCTGGCAGGCCTGGCCAGGTCACCATCCTCCGTTTCATAGAACCCTTTCCTGACTCAGGGTTTGGGAATTTTCCTGCTGGTCCTCTCCAGATTATCAGAGAGGGCCTGAGGGCTGGCCATCTCCCTTGTTGGCCACTGTGCTTTTAAAACAACACCACAATTACCGTTAAAGTGGTGCAGCAGTAAGATTTCTTCTTTGAAAAATTTCTGGCATGGCCCCAGAGAAACACCCCACACGATGGGCGCCGAGGCAGCGTGCAGAGGACCAGGTGTGGCCGGAGACCCTGCGGGCCGTTTGTGTGCAGGGTCCCATGCAGGGGGAGTGCAGGGAGAGATGGGCATGCGACCCTCACTTCTTGATTTCAACTCCAGCCATTTCACCCGAGCTGCTTGGTTAATGTAAGGAATGTGTTTGCCATGAACATTCCCGGGGCATTCAGCGGGGTGGGCTGGGCAGGAAGCACTTGTCATTGCTATAGAGCAACCAGCCAGCTGGAGAATGCAAGTGTCACAGCGCCCACAGGATGCCCGAGCCCTCCCCAACCATCCCCCTCCTGGCCGTCCCCATCCCTCCCCCTCCGGCCCCTCCGAGGGGCGAATGACGTGACCTTGGAGCGCTTCATGCTCGCAGGCTGAACTCCAGTTTAAAGTTCAGGGCATTTTGTTTTTTCACCTGTTTCCTACAGTTCCAAGGAACTTCTGAGGAATTAATGTGTAACTATTGTACATCAGACACACGGCATTTTCTCAGGGGAAAATAACATTACAATAGGAAGGGAGAGCAGAAACCAGTTTGGCTCAGTGGTAGAGCATCGGTCTGCAGACTGAAAGGTCCTGGGTTCGATTCCGGTCAAGGGCATGTACATTGGTTGCAGGCACATCCCCGGTGAGGGATGTGCAAGAGGCAGCTGGCCGATGTTTCTCTCTCATTGACCTTTCTAGCTCTCTATCTCTCTCCCTTCCTCTCTGTGAAAAATCAATAAAAATATATTTTAAAAAAATAGGAAGGGAGAGAAGTGGCTACTTGACTGAGCTGTGAGGAGGTTTCTGTAAAATAAAAATCCTCTTGAGAGCAGCCATGCACGGCGTCATCTGTGCTTTTACCGAGATCCATCCACGCTCAGTAACATCTGCTTTGGCTGCACTGAAACTGGTCATCAGCTGTGACAGGGGGCCCCTCCAAATTCGGTGGGGACAGGGCTCTGCTGGAGCCAATTTTTACGGAAGATGTTGGACGATGAGAGCTAATTTATACAGCAGGTGGGGAAGGACAGGTAAGAGGGAGCTACTGGCAGGTCTTCTGCTCGGGAACAGTCCGTCGTCCAGCCAGTGGTGAGTGCACAGCAGGCTCCTTAAGGCCTTAACTTCGAGTGACCCCAATCCAGTCAAACAGTCTTACCTTGGCAACAGGCAGGAAGCATTGTTAGTAGTTTGATGTTTTGTTTTGTTTTATATATTTTATTGGTTTTTTAACAGAGAGGAAGGGAGAGGGATAGTTAGAAAAATCAATGAGAGAGAAACATCAATCAGCTGCCTCCTGCACACCCCCTACTGGGGATGTGCCTGCAACCAAGGTACATGCCCTTGACCAGAATTGAACCTGGGACCCTTGAGTCTGCAAGCCGATGCTCTATCTACTGAGCCAAACTGGGTAGGGCTAGTGGTTTGATGTTTTATCGCTTGGAGAAAACAGTTTGAAGTGATTACATACAGCTTTTACTAATATTTCTTCGTATCATTAAATTTTAATACAGACAGGATGAATATTTTATGGAGGCACCTTTTTTTAAAGGTTGTTTTCATAGTAGAAGCTGGTGTCCGTGTAAATCCTTTTGCAGATTGGTTTAAGAAGAGTTAAATACTAGCACTTTGCTTGTTTGGTTCACTTGGGTATGTGTGTGTTTCTAAATGTGGTCTAGGCATATGCAGTCGTCGTCATTTGAAAACTAGCACAATGAACTCTTAAATCCTGCCTTTTACACTCTTACCACCAGGTGGCTTAGATTTTTCCTGCTCCATTTTTTTTTTTCTTAACGATATGCGAAGGACTTGTAATCACTTTCAATTTCTGCTTAAGTGATGAAATATGAAACTGTAGGTGGACTGTGTTTCAAGAAGGAAAACTGCTGAGTAAGTGACAGGCATTTCAAGCAGTGCCAGGCCAGATGGACATTTTCATGAGTGTTTTTGTTTTCTTAAATATTGACAATGTTAAACTAGCCAAATTTTGCTGAAGTGAAACTTTTTGAGACTCTGAGCCTGTTCCACCTCTGTGCTGACTCCTGGATGGCCACATTATCCCAGGCCAGCTGGGTTGGGCTTATATTCCCAAGTGACCTCCCACTCAATCCTTTATAGGTTGGTAAAGTTGTTTATAGAGATGCTGCTTGAATTCCTTTAGAATCAACTCTAAAACCCAAGAGTAAAATTGCTAAATAGAATGTTAATTAATGTCTCACGTCTTAATGAGGAGGTGCTAGAGGGAAATCGTGCCTGGGGGATGGTGACAGAACAGGGTGGGCAGTGCTTTCAGACAGCACCATATGGCGGTGACTGTCCCCACCCCCATGTTCCCGAAGCTCTCGGAGAATCGTGGGTCTGTCTGTGAATACAGAACTCACCAGTTTCTTTGCCAGGGCAGCGTTGGCTGCTCAGCTCCTATGCATTCCAGTTTGCCCTTCGATTCTCTAATTTATTAACTTTGACAAGTAACCTCTTGCTTGTACATGATTTTATTCACAATTCCTTTTTCTGATTCAAAGTGAACATGACTGCCTTAATCCTCTAATGGGAATTAATTGCTTGTTTCAGTGCTTAACTCTGATCCTTTCCCAATCCCCACGGGATAAGTTTCTTCCTGAAGGACCTGTGTTTGTTATTCTAAACACAATCAGAAAGGTAATGATGTTTTTCTTGTGAAAGGAGCCAGAGTGCAGAATATTAATTTTATTTATTTTTTATTACATAAGTAATTATTCTCAAACTAATATAAAGGATTCAATTCAACAGATAAAAAGTAGAAAATTATATTTTGGTCATTCTAGTAGGCTAAATTATTTCCTAGAAAAGGAGTTTAATTTTTATTGTTGGGTTTTCATTTATGAAAATAAGCTGTCATCTTCAAGAAGAAAGTTGCTGAACTAATTTTCTGCAGAGTCGCAATTACCATCCTATGGCCCAACCATGATCATTTCTTTTTTCTTTTTTTAAATATATTTTATTGATATTTTACAGAGAGGAAGAGAGAGGGATAGAGAGTTAGAAACATCGATGAGAGAGAATCATACATCAGTTGCCTCTTGCACACCCCCTACTGGGGATGTGCCCGCAACCAAGGTACATGCCCTTGACCGGAATCGAACTTGAGACACTTCTGTCTACAAACCGACGCTCCATCCACTGAGCCAAACCAGTTTGAGCCCAACCATGATCATTTCTATGTAATATCACCTTCCTATGTGTTTTTGGCTCTGAAAAATCATTAAAGCCACAACCAATACTTGATATGGCTTGATCCCTTCTTCCATTTATTATGTATAATATTCCTTTTTGTTTTATTTTTTAAGGAGCTTTATGAGAAAAATATAAGCTAACACATGTTTTCATATAATTTTGATAAAGGAAGAAGTTGGGGTAGAGAACTGAGGAAGGGACAGGGTTAAGGAGAAGAGGCTATTACTCATTGGGTGCTGCAGCCTGGCCTACAGTCGGCAGTCAATATGTACACTGAGTGGCCAGATTATTATGACCACCTGACATCTGTAGGCAAATTAGCCATACACTGCAACCTATGGGATATGGAAGCTGAAGGCCTGTTCGAACACCTTTGCTGTCTGCAGTTACCAAGATAAAAATGTCTCCACACAGGAACACAGGATTGGACAGTCGAGCATTGGAAAAAATTCATGTGGTTCGATAAATCATGTTTCCAGTTGCATCATGCAGATGGCAGAGTGAGAATTT